GTCAAGAGCTTTATCTTCAATGTCACTAATTCTAACTTCTACCGCCTCAATTCTGCTCCTATGACTTTCTATTGAGTTGTCTAATTCTGAAATTTTATTTTTAATCTTCTGGACTTCTGATTGCTGTCTCTCTATGGATTCTTGCAGCCTATTAAATTTGGCATTATGTTCTTGAATAACTTTTTTAGGTTCCACTACTTCTGTGTCTGTATGTTGCCTGGCTGTTTCTGCATTCTGTCGAATTTCCTTTCTTATTTCTACAAGAGTTCTGTATATCAATCTTTTGTATTCTGCCTCTGGTAATTCCAAGACGTTCTTTTTCTCCAGAGAATTTATTGATTCTTTATTTTGGGAGCTTGCTGAAGCCATCATGGACTGCCTCTTTATATGACTTGATATAATTTATTATAATTTTATTTTGTGTTTGCTTAGTGAGACCTAGATTCTTTTTTTGTTTTGTTGTGATATGCCCAAATAGGCTGCTCATGTGCACTAGTTTGATTTTTGACACCTTTTGATCTCTAATGTCCTGTCACCAGGTAGTTAGTTCTGTAACTAAGTATGTGCACACTGGAGTCCGTTAAATTTTCTTATATGGGATCAGCTCGGGTGTGCAGGCAGTCAGTCTCCAAGTGTGTGATGCAGGCTTTCACCCCCAGTCCTAGAGAGGCATGGGTGATTGGTGCAGGCATTGGACTCTGGCTGTGGTCGGGGATCACGCGCTGAGCCAGGAAGGGTGCTGCCCCTGAGAGTCTGAAAGAAAAGTGTGTCCCTATTCTCTAGGGTGAATATGTAGGTGAGTTTTGCAGCCGGGCTAAGAGCACCCCACTCTGTTGGTTGTAAAGACTCGAAGGCACCACTTTTTCTTGAACTCCTATAGCAGGTGACTAGGCACTTTAGGAGCTACCACCAGTCCTCAAGACCCTGCTGCAGATTGATGAAAGTGCCTACTTGAGGGGCAGGGCTGTTTCCAGGGTCACAAATCTGCCCGTTCACAGCTGAAGCAGTTGAAGTTAAACTCAGATGTTTGCCCTGTTGTACTGTGGCAGTGAGGGCTAATGCTGTTGAGATGGATCCCCACAAGTCTAAGGTGTAAGGCACTCAGAGTCTGTGGACCCCTGATTTCTGTGGCCAGCAAAGGAGCTGTGCCGACCCGGTGTTCCTGGCCTAGGGGAGCCAGCAGCTTATTT